GAACTGGGGGTTGATGATGGGGGCGGAGTAGTCTCCCATTTGTAGTAAAGTACAGAGGGAGAAAAGACTCAGCTGAGGCCTGTGATGTGATTACGTAGTGATATTTGGGGGAGTGCTACGGCGAATTGCGGCTTTGACACCGGACCTCATCATGACAATTGTCATATGGTGTTTGTGTGAAGCCATCGTTGAGAGAGGGGAGAAACCGCGGATTTAGTGCACTTCCTCGGATCTTCAGTGGGTCTACCTTAATTCCCACCCACTGAGCCAAAACCACCTAGGCTAGGGGAGGAAAGAAAACACAGGACCCTTGATCCTATATGACAAAAAGACTTAGGTAAACTTATTCATATTCAGTATATTCTTACTAAGCTTAGGATAATCTTTGATGAATTTATTTTAACACCGTATCTCAAGGTTCGCCGTTTTCTTACTCCCCTGAGGGCCGCCAGGTCAGCGGAGAAGTCTTCCTCTTTCGCTGCCCGTCGCTTCGCCTTGCCGAATGCTACCAGTTTTTGTCCGTGACGGAGAAATTTCTGGGTGCGGAGTAAATTCGAAAAGAGCCGCTTACTGACTTGGATTCTCCAAATTCATCGCCAAGAGACGGGACGGATGCGGCTGTTACGTTGAGGCGTAAGGCACAGCGTCGTCGTTATTACCGTTGGATATGGTCTTGCTGGGGAGGTGGTTATGTCACTCATGATATTCATCTCAAGTGAAGCTCTATGGGACCAGATATAGATTCAGTGGACTTTCAGAGGAGTTTATACCTCAAGATAAAGCCATGTCAGATTGAAGAGAAGCATATCTCTCCCATGCAACCGTCCACTCCATACGGGGTCAACACAGGAGCCTCCTGTCCTCAAAACAACCCAGCAAATCATGTCATACGCTGATCCTACCCGTCCCTGGCATGTCTTAACCAGGGCTTATTCACCCGTAGAGCGGATCCCCAGTGACGAAACCCTGAAGATGCCGCGTTGCCGAGTTGTAACTTGTAGATAAATCCCCATTCTCACTCGGCGCCTCGGGCAAAACTCCCACGAGATAAAAGACCCAAAACTCAATCTAGATGGAGGAGAGAAACTGGGGCAATATGGGGTATGTTCTTACAAGTAACGTTGACATCTGGGGCCCCAGATTCCCGCCCCATTACCGTATATCATAAAAGGAGCCCCCCTTCCTCTCCTCCATCTCAATAATCTTTTCCTCAAATTCATCCCAATTACTAGTCGAAATGGCTTCGGAAATTCAGCGCAAGAGATCCGTCGACGAGGTCGAAGATCTCGAAAAGCCAGCTCAGCACTCTGAGCGAGTCGACAAGGAACTCGCGCAATATGTCTCAGACGTACGCATCAACATCTCGCCTGAGCGCAGTGCGGAGCTGCGAAAGATGATTGACAAGAGAGTCCTTGCTATTATGATCTTTACGTACTTTCTGCAGGCTATTGATAAGGGGACGTTGTCGTTTGCGTCGATTATGGGGTTGACTGCTGATACGGGGTTGGAGAATCCTGATGGGACTGTGTCTCAGCATGTGAGTTACGAAGCCTTCCTTTTTGTTAGGGATGGTGTGCTAATTGCGGTGTAGTTCTCGTGGCTTACGACTTGTATTTACCTCGCTATTCTTGTTGTCGAATATCCCCAGAACTGGCTCATTGCCCGTGTGCCTATCGCGAAGTACCTCTCCTTCTGCATTGTCGCTTGGGGGGCTTGCCTAGCCTGTCACGCTGCTTGTCAAGACTTCAAAGGTCTCGTTATCGTACGAACATTACTCGGTATCTTTGAGTCAGCCTGTCAACCATGCTTCGTTATCCTCTCAGCCATCTGGTACCGCCGTGAGGAACAAGCCTCCCGAGTCACCTACTGGTAAGCCTACCGCACACTTCTCAATAAAATTTCTCACTGATCATGTTCCAGGTACATGATGAACGGTGCTCAACAGATCGTCGGCGGTCTTCTCGCCTACTGTTTCTCCCTCATCAAAACCGGCCCCCTCAAATCCTGGCAATGGCTCTTCCTCTCCTACGGCGTAATCTCCGTAGTCTTCGGTGTATTCGTCGGATGGTGGATGCCTGATTCCCCCATGCGAGCCAAATGCTGGACTGAACAGGAAAAGCACGAGATGGTTGAGCGTGTGCGCGATAACCAGACTGGTATCCAGAACAAGACGTTCAAGAAGGAGCAGTTCATCGAGGGTCTCAAGGATCCTCAGGTTTGGGGCTATGCTCTCATCGCGCTGTGCACGACACTTCCCACATCGGGACTCGGTGCGTTTGCGAATATTATTATCAAGAGCTTTGGGTTTAGTACCCTTGAGACGCAGTTGTTGGCGATGGTGTTGGGCTTTTACATCGTTATTGTGCTTCTGTCGTCGGCTTGGCTTGTCAAGAAGACGAGCCAGAACCTACTGGTCATGCTTGGCTTCTGTATCCCGTGAGTCTATTATCCTTCTTCATCTTTGATCATCGCTAACAACTCAGGTCCTTCATTGGCACAATCCTCCTCATGACCCTCCCCAACAAGACAACAGCGCAACACATCGGCCTTTTGATTTCATACTACATCACCCTATCCTTCTGGTCCGCCCAAACCCTCGCCCTCTCCATGATCTCCCGAAACATCGCCGGCCAAACAAAGAAGACCGTCGCAGTCGCCACCAACTTCATCGTCTGGGCAGCCGGTAACGCTATCGGTCCTCAGGTCTTCCTCTCCCACGACGGGCCACGCTACTTCATCGCTTTCGCCACTCATCTCGGCTGCTACTGTCTTCTTGTCATCGTTATCGTCTCTCTGAGATGGTATCTTCGACGAGAGAACAAGAAGCGCGATGCGTTGGCGGAGTCGGGTGTCGCGGAGGCTAGCTCGACTTACACGGGACAGGCTTGGGAGGATCTCACAGATAAGGAGAACCTGAGCTTCCGTTATGTGTACTAGGGGATGGATCTTGTAAGAGGTAAATGGATGTAACCATCGAGAAATAGTTACAAGTGTAGATCATTGAGAATACATCCACTATTGCAACATCCGTATCGTGCTTCTGAAATGCTTGTTATTGATTCGCTAGACTACCTATGGACCATCATGGCCCCGGTCGGTGTTGTGAGCCAACTGTAGATGAAGTATACCCCGAGACATCAGTTACCTTTCTGGTGACGAGCGCATTGACTGGTCACCAGATGATGATGGTGACGATGACCACTCAAAACCGTTCATCGCGTCTTTCATAGCCCCCATCAAATCAGCATTTCGTTGCCATTTCAGGAATTCTTTCAAATGTTCGGCTGCCCGTGCCACATTCCCCACGGCATAGGCGCGCCCTTTTTCGTCTCTTGCTTGGGCCATTTCGTCCGAAAAGTCGTTGATCAGTTTGAAGGTTTTTTTGTTGTGTCGTTCTTTGACATCACCGACGATGCTGTCCCACCACCCCTGTTTATCCTCAATGCCACCCTCATATCTAATGATACGGGCCATAGCCTGAGGACACCTGGTAAGGGTATGACCACCATCCGCCAGTTTCTGAGCCGTAGCAATCGTGGTCGACTTTGCCAAAAAATCGTTCATGAGTTCGAGATCTTTTGAAATAACGGACTCAGTAGCCCCGAGCTCTGCGACGGTTGCCGTAACAATAAGTTCTTCCCCAGTCTTCTGAAACAAGTCTTTAAGCGTCACTGACAGATCTCTCTAAGCCACGTGGGTGCGCTCCTTGTCCCTTGAGTCAATGATGGCGATCATTGCACAAACTCGATCATAATTCGTTGGTTCCGAAAACGCGAGAGGCGCATCAGGCATGGCGACGAATGTGGGATAGCCTTGCTCGTCTGCTTGCAATTTGACCCTCAGCACGCCGAGGCGGTAGAGGTGATCCAGGCGCTGATTCATTTTGACGACGAAGGAGTCGAGAGAAAGTTGAGATGGGTCCATAATGTCTGAGCCACGAGGTTAGTTATTGTGTAGGTAGAAAGTGGTAGGTTGTGCAGCTAAGGGAGGAAAAACGCTCAGGCCTTGATCCTAAATGACAAAAAGACTTAGGCAGCTTAGCATAAATCTAGGATAGCTCTCACTAAATTTAGATTGCCTTTGTCAAGTTTAGGATCCTTGATCAAGTTTAGGATCCTTTAGGATACCTTTTGATGAGTTTCTTTTTGACACGCTGTATCGAGACCTGATGTTTTCGCTCCTTGAGGGGCAGCTCACCTTGTTTTCAGGCCGGTCGGGGCCAACACAGCGTTGCAGGAGGAGCCAAAGGAAAGGGATGAGCGATGATATTTGAGTATGCAGTAATTGGATGATGGAATTTGGATGTATTCGAAGCAGTGTTGATGGTTGTGAAGTTCTGCAGCTTTAATGATTTGGAGTGATGATGGAGAAGAGAATAAGTTTTCGGATGCAATCGAGATGAAGAAGGATGTTGGTACCTGCAGTATCCACGTGAATACTGACTCGAATGACAGCAAGTCCCATCAACTGCAGCCCCTTCTCTGAAATCAGCTGACCTTCCTCTGTCACAGCCCAGAACCGGCAGAAGTGACTACCTTACCTTACCCAGGCTGGCGGTCTCAGGACAGCGACTTCCCAGAACAGTCTTGCACGCTCCGTTTGAGACAGGCATGACTTTGGTTAGACTTAGCTCGAAACATGAAAAGCCCAATGTCTCTTTCGTCTCCTCTCTCTGAGCCCAGTGAACACCAGGAGTAAAATGGTTACTCCAAGACTCAACTCCAACCCCAATGCGACACAATTCCTTGAGGTGATCTTGACTACATGTTCACTTGGACGTCGCAGTATTTTGATCCGCGGGGGTTGTCGTACTTGGTGTGTTCCCTCTGGTCAATCTTGTTCATCCATTGGCTTCCAAGCGTTTCGAGTGGCTGTGCACTTGTCGAGCACATTGTCAGGATAGAGACCGAGGTCATGGAGATTGATAGCAAGAAAGGTTTGCCGGGAGTGAAAGAAGTTGAGGGATATTTCCCAAGGTGACGGGAGAAAATGATGGCCGTGCCATAAACTTCTGTGAACAAGTTCTGTCCCTGTTTCACTCGCCGGTCGGGTAGTGGTCACTGATGTTTGACCACTTGGACAGATTGCTGTGATGCTAAACTACTCCGACTCTGAAGAAGACCACATACAAGGCTGAATAGATGCTGTTCTCTGGCCTCAGTGTCAGTGTCAAGTAGTCACTGATGGTGAATCGACCGCCATTGCAGTGATGAATCTATCGGTAGTTCCTTGGTCTTCACGAGTATAAGTTACGATCTTTGGACGGTCAAGTTCAACTCATCAGCTCAAGCAACTCAGACACACAAACAACTTACACATACAACCAATAATCGTCATCATACTCACACGCCCATACTACCCTTTCCATCATGCCTCCTCTATATGGAGACCCTACAACTGAAGTTCACCCCAAGCACACGCTCTGGATGTGCTTAAATGAGGTCAACGGTCCCGGCTCCGAGTGCAACACCCACAACGACATCAATGATCCGATGTGCAGGAAGTGCGACTACGAAGTCGACGGTTGGATAAAGGTCAAGGCCATGGATAAGCACGAAAAAGTAATCGGGGAGCTCCACGACACTGTCGATGGTGTGGTGAGATGGAAATACTTTTGGTATTTTCTCTATCCAGGTCCAACTATGGAGGATGCGCCTGGGAACAATGCGCCTGTGCCCCGAGGCACAATCCCCGGATAGTCTACAAATGGATCAACCAGCGGATCGTCTACGAATGGAGTGGGAATCAATGGAGCTGTCATCAACGGGAATCATGGAAGGCGTTAGAATGGACACTTGAACTGCGTCTGTCCACTTTGGGATTGGGAATCAGCAGATTTGAAGATGGATTTCAGTAATCGGGATGGGTCATTGGTCATGGTTCATGACTGTAATGCTTGTTTATCTTTTCGCCAAAGTCTGTCTTGGACTATGCTTCTAAGACAACAAATAATAGAACGGGTTGAGCTTTGCTTGTTAGCTGTTTCACTTGTGTGCACTTGTCGACGACCGTACTTGCGCGGACGACGAGATAAGGGGTTCTACACTTAATTTCTGAAGATATCCTGCAGGAGATGCTTGATGTTAGTGATACCAGTCGAAAGAATGCTTGTTCGACCAACGATTGCTCAGCGGATCGAAAGAGACGGAAGGCAAACGGAAGGAATATACTCCCAAGCTTCTGCGAGTAATATCACCTATCCATGTTTCACTCTTTCATTGGAGGATAGTCACTGATGGTCAATCACTTGGAACGAATGCTGTAAGAATGAGTTCTCCTGTCTCTGAAGCAGAGTCGCGTATCAGGGCTGAATAGATGCCTTGCTCGGATATCGGTGGAATAGCCAAGGAGTCGTTGAGAGTGAATCAACCTCAATGGCAGTGACGAGCCTATTGATCAGTCTACCATCTCCATTGATATAAAGCCTCTTTGGATGGCTAAGTTCATCATACCATCCATCTCAAGCAGCTCAGACACGAACACAACTTACATACAAAACTCACCAACATTCCGACAGTCCTATCTCCCATTCACTTTTGATCCTACACAATGCCTCAATCAAACAACCCAATGCCTCAGTCAGACAACACAACGATTTATTCAGATAAACCCGATCCCAGACATAAAACCTGGGAATGCGAACGGCCTCTCACTCGTCGTTCGCGCGAGACCTGTGACACCCTCGTCGATGTCAATAGCGTGACGTGTCACATGTGCGGCTACACGCTCACGGGCGCGGATAAAGTGAGGGCTGTGGATGCAAATTAACGATTCATCGGGCGGCTCTGGAGCCACGACAGTACGTATAACGAGACAATTTGGGCGTACGACGTTGAGGCCCTCAACAATGCTCCATTCGACGCGTAATGCGACGACGGATGGAGGATGAACAAGTTGAAGAACCACAAACAAAGCGACCAAAAGCGGAATGAGAATGAATGGGGACAGTACCAGCGAATTGAGAGCTAATGGGAGGGGGACTTAATGGAGCGACCACAAACGGGAGTCATGGGAGATATTAGAGTTGTCATTCTACAACATCTATTCCATATGGACATCGGCAGGTTTTAAAGATGGACAGGCTCTCATGGCCCATGGTCACGCATGCTTTTGTTTTTCCATAAAAGTCTATCTTATTAGACATTAATTCTCGAGACAAAAAAAAATGAAAATATTTCAGATTTACTTGCATTGATGTTTAACTTGTGAATAGCCGTGCAGAAAAGATAAAACCGAGTTATAAGATTTGTATTCTGCTTATGGGGTTTGCTCCTCACGGCACTCCATTGCTGTTCTTGACTCAGCAGTTCTAGACTGTAGCTATTGTGTTAGGAATCAGGACGATAGCTTACCTTACACTTATCGATGAAACTGACCTGTTGCTGGTCTACTTGGACATGAAGGCTCTGATGAGTTCGTGGCTTTGCCTCTGAACAATGGCCGTATCCGCGAACAGTGTTGAAGAGACGCAGCTCCCTGGCACTTAGTAACTGCAAGGCACCAAGCAGACTTCAGTACTGGAGCAAGTGAATCGATCGCCTTGACTGTGGTTCATTCGTAGTTTAGTTACTGGCGATCTGGTATAAGTGACGCCCTTGTCCCTGCCCCCAAGCCCATACACACAAACAACAGCAACGCAATCACATGCCAAAGAGCTTTTCCCATCTACAGCCAAAATGTCTGAGGAAGTGGATCGAGCAAGTGAACACACCCACTGGCGATGCATACGCTGTGCCAATGCTAAAAAGCCGAGTGTCAACAAGCTTGCCGACCAAGCATGTGTCCATTGCAAAACCGACCGTCAGCCTGGAGCGGCTGCTCTTGATAAAGAATTCAATATCATTGGGTAATTGATCAAGACAAATGAAGAAGTCTGGGCGTGGAATCCCAAGAGGCTACGTCGAAGTGGCGCGAATGGGAAGTGGACGGAGGAGGGAAAGTGATCAAGACGAGGGACTCGAGCCATCACGTCCAGGTCTGCGACACTATATTATCGAGATAGAATTGGGGATTGAGCAATAATTCGGATGAGTTCTCTTGAATATCCAGACTTCCGCATGTCGCAATTGAAGACCAGTTGTTTAACTCATATATGCCTCCAGCGCAACGTCCCAATCGCCACCACGACAGAACTTCTCTGCTTCAAGATCATTTGATCTTTCCACAATATGGTTGGAGAATATAATAATGTGATATTTAAACATTAGGATTAGTATCTGTTCAGTTCAGATTGAATTGAGAAAACTCGTCTTTACTGTCGCAGGGCGATTGCGAATCTCATAAAGTATTACCTAAAGAAGAGCTACTTCGCAAACATGTGCATTTAGGCTCTTTGAATGTTATACATATCATTTATTTATAGGGTTGTAGGGGCACCGTCAACGTTACATGCATAAAGAGATCAAGATTTGTCCCGGAAAAATGTAACTCGGCGTCATCATGACAGTACCGCAGGGAATATGCTGAAAGTCTCACTGAATCTACTTTCTGAGTGAATGACTTCTTTTCGGCGACTACACTGATTTTGTGTCTAGTGTTGTTAGGCTCTGGGGTCATTTGAGCCGCAACACGAGCGATCACTGATATTGAGCGCTTTGAATGTGATTCACATCGGTACATGTGTAACTCTTATCGTCGAATCACTTTTCATTCATGCAGTCACCTGCATGAACTCATGTATATATCTGGGCTGATTTTCACCCTCCCCTCCACTCGTTCATCAATTACACGGCGAACCAGCACCTCAACCCTGCACTCACTTACACAACATCCCACCCAGACTTACACCAACGACTCATCAAATTCACACCACGAAGTCATCACATACATCTGCACAATGTCAGAGAATGTTCAAAAGACAACAACACAAATTCGGGGCGATCATAAAAAGTGGAAATGCCATAAAATGATCGATGAGCCAGGTCACGCCAGATGCGTTGCCACTATGAGCATGAGCGTCGACACATGTACACACTGCGGACAACGTCGCGGGAAGAACGCTGTTGCGCTTTCTCAGAACGATGAAGTGTTGGGTAGCCTTGTTGACTTTGAGGCTGATGGAACAGAGAAATGGCACTATAATCTCAAAGTGAACGGCGTTCACAATTGAGCCTGTTCGTGGTTGGTAGGGTGAACATGACATATCGGCGTTCAGTGGTTCAGCATAGAAAGAGATTATAAATTGACCCTACAAATAATTTACTCTTCCCTTACTCTTCAATTCACTTCAACCGTACTGCAATCATGCCTACCAACCGCCTCCATAAGGCCCTCGCATCCGGCCGCATCAGCCCCGCGCTGAAGCCTGGCCGCTCAACACTCATCGTTCGCAAAGACCACACCAAGTGGGAATGCAACGAGAAAGTTGGGAAGAACGACAGAGGTGAGATCATTGAGTGTCAAGAGGTCATGAAGATGAGCGAGCGAGTCTGTACGAAATGCTGGTGTATTCGGAGAGTCGGCGCCGCTGCGATGACCGAGGATGAGATGTATCTCGGCATGCTTGCTAGTATCACCAAGGAAATCAACGAGTGGTGGGAGTATTTCCCTCAACTGGAGGAGGCGAGTTGTGAGGAGCCGACTGACACTGTGATGGGGGGCATGTGAGCTGGAAGGTTAGACTTGGGCAGTGAACACAGGTAGTTAGTTGAATAGTGATGCATTGTCTTTAGTTTACTGATTCATGGATATGATGAGCTCAGAGTGTACAAGCCCAGTGAATAAATGTTTGTCTGACAAGGAATAGTACTCCTGAACAATGGCCAATGTCATGTATAATAACGTCCCTTCACCCAGTGAGTCTCACCCAAACAGCACGCACAGAAACGCTTTACTACAACTGCAAACAACCCAACTTCTTGACCTACAAACATAAAAGAACGATACAACCATGCCTGAGCCTTATAAGGATAAAGCAATCACGACCAAAGTCCGCGGCGACCACACTCACTGGCGTTGTAGGGATGGACCAGAAGGAGAAGAGTGCAATGAACGATATGAGATGAGTCAAGACAATTGTACTTCATGTGGTCAAAGCCGGAAGGAGGGCTCGTGGGCAGAGGCCACCAATGGCTACGTGCTTGGGACTCTGCAATCTTTTGATCCGAATGGTGAAGTAGTTTGGCACTATGAGACTCACAGGAACGGCTGTAATTGATCAGCATCGAAAGAAAGGAGATATACTGGTATGGGACTTCTGATTCAGTGTACACGGATACTATAAATTACACGAAATACAATCCCGGCCTTCCGTTCAATATCTTATTCTTGACACCAAAGTCCCAAAGTGCAAACTCGCTCACAACGTACCTCACATGTCTTTCGAGACACTAACAGACGTAGTTCGTGGTGACCACACCCACTGGCGCTGCAACAAACTTGTAAAAGGAATCGTCTGCGAAGCAAAGAATCCAATGACGGAGAAGACGTGTAGTGCGTGTGGTATAGATCGTGGGATCCGCTCAACAGCTCTGGCGAGTAATGGTGATCTGCTAGGGTTGCTTGCTTCTGTTGACTCAGAGGGTAGAGAGATGTGGTATTATAATATCATGACAAATGGGACCTCGTAGTTGAGGGAGGCGGATTAGGATATGCAATCAAGTAGTTGAGCTATCGTGATTTTGTCAAGCCGGGGGTCATGATCTAGTCATGCAGACTGTATATAAGCCGCTGGAGGCACGTCGCCTTGCGACCTCTTAAAAATTCCCTGCACAACTAAAGTCACCAGAATAAGCATCAATGACTTAGCTAGAATCTCACGAGAACATATTTGCTACATACCTCAATTCGTAAACGTACACTATGGCTTGCACTGCTCCATCTCATGCTGCACATATTCAATAGATGTGCACCAGGTTTCTCATGTCCATAGACAGCTGCAATACCGCAGAATCAGTCCATACGAAGAAGTGAATTATTGCGGTGGACAAAGGGAAGTCAGAGATGCGGAAGTTCTTGAAGCAGTTGGAACGAAACTTGCGACTCTTGTCACGGTGGACTCCGTTGATAAAGAGACACGGGATCACAGCTAATCTGAACCTCTTCTGCAGTGATAAACGGCGTATATGTAGTCCTGAAGCGCTGCAATGTGTGCTGCAAGCATTGAATCAGGAGAACATGATATGAGCATTATAAACCTGACTGTTTCCCCCTTGACTCAACAGTGCACAATCTCACCTTTCCCAGACAATCCAGTACACGCATAACCAACAATTGCAACCACAGAACCCAAACATCCGAAGCTTTCAAAGGTTCATCTAATTACCCAAAATGCCTCTTTTGGAACGTACAACCACCGTCCGCAATGGTCACACTCATTGGAAGTGCGTGAGACCCGCGCCCGAGCCCGACGAAGGTTTCTGCAATACAACAATGGCTATGAATGAGAAGCAGTGCACAAAGTGTGCTGTTATTCGCCAGCCCAGATTTGCGTATGCTATGGCTGGAGAGGAACACAAACTTGGAGTTCTTGGGAGTGTTGGTGCAGGTAATATCGAGACGTGGCATTATGAAAATTGGATCTAGAATGGTGCCTCCTGGGGAATGGAAGTCGAGTGGTGAGGAGGCGTTTGCCTCTGGAACATAATGGAGATTGAGAAGTGAAGTATATCTCTAACAATAAAAGAACTTCGTTATTGGAGATTTGCTTCAAGCTGAGCTCGTATCATGACATCTCCAAGTTCCCCCATGGTGCGCATCCATATCTCTATCTCTTCTAATCCCCATTAGCAACTCAATCATTGAGCATATCATCATACGAGACATCGCCATCACCGAAACTAGCAACAGTTCTATACAAAACCGCATCCGGCTCATCAACATCATAAGGAACATCATATTCCCGGACTTCCTCACCTAGATTCGTATAATCTTCAAGGTGTCCGATTATTTCCCAATTATCCCTCAATGCCAAAGTTCCATTTCTTCGAGTCAATTTGCACTTTGGACATCCTAGGATCGGTACTCTGATGGCACAGCCTTTGTCGTCCGGGCCATACTCAAACATGGCGTTGACTTCGCAGTACTCGTCGTTGACTGTGGTCATGCATTGCCACATGGTGTGATCGCCGCGGATAGCAGTGACTGGGGCCATGGTATAAGTGAACTGGGTGTAAGGGAATTTGGTACGTGCTGGTTGTTTGGGGGCCGCTTGCTTTGACACAAGGTGGTGCATTGTGTGGACTTATATAGAGTAACGAAGGGAACAATTACGGTGTCTGTGGCCAAAGATATCGATTCGAGTAGAAGAGAAGGAAGTTAGAAAGTGATTGAGTAGGGGAAAGTGTAAAGCCCTGAATCTTTGAGACAGCCCTCTCCGATGTTGTGCATACAAGTCACGGTCTGATGCACACCACACAACGACCACGAAGTTCCCGTCTTCATTAATCGACAGTCATCATATAGTGATTCACGAAAAACAGAGTCTGTATCAGATGTTGAGGTCAGTTGTAATTGTATTGCCCATTCACCGTCCTGTCCCACCCACTAATCCTAGCGATAGATGTCTCACTCTGCCCTCGCCTCCGAAAGGTCGACCCTCTTTGCCTCGTGAAGTTTCCAGATTGTTTTCCCATTTGAATCCATTCCTTCGCATTTCCCAATAACGTTAATGTCAGCGCTTAATGCCGTTGCTCCCTTATCAAGTTTGGCGTCGCACGCTTTACATCTCTCCTCGCCTATGTCGTTCATCTTTGTGCAGGTGTCGCTCATGCAGAGCCACCAGGCGATATTGACTTCAGTGGGCTTGAACATCTTGGTTGAAGTGAATGATAGAGGTGTATTGTGTTGGTGTTGTGTGACTTGGAGTGCTTGATGTCCTGTGTAACAAGCCGGGGAATCTTGGGACTTTTATGTGTCATTAGAGAGTAGTTCCAAGGACTCTGTTCACAGTCAATCATTTTCACTCACTGCTTGGAGGCATTCAGGCAACTCTTGTTCGGTGTAACGGGACTAGCTGCAGTGTGTCGTGTGTCGACAAAGGGAGAAGCGTGAATCGCTCATGGCAGTCCGCTGTCCTGTCCACGACCTGAACCAGTGTATTAACAGGGCCTCTGGAGACACAATACAACCACTATTTGATTCTACTTAATTAGGCAATGCCTTGGCTTAAAGAGGTATGTATGCAGGCGTAGGAAGTCATTTCTACTAATTATGAGGTCACAGTGTCACGAGATAGGAAGAAAGCGGGCACATATGTCAAATCAACTCATTTTCTTTCCATCAATTAGAGAAATTAAGAATCTCTATGATCCTCCCTCTCCAAGTCGAAAATGATGAGTATCGATCCTCAGTTTAGTCAATAATGAAATGAATTGTCCAACTTTCACTGCCATCGTCCTCACGGAAGAACATCCAAAGCGGCTCTGGTTCCTCACTCCCGGGCTTCTTCTCTCCAAGGTCCGCTGTTGAACCATCGGCACGTTTGTTGCCGCATTTGGAACAAATTTCGTTTTGTATATCTTCATTTCTCCCTCCGCACCCTTTCCTTGGGGGTTTATAAGAATACCCAAAGTTGCATGTCCATTTAGCGTTCTTTGGGACGAAGCTGTCGCCTTGTTCAGTCACCATGTAACAGTTGGGAGGATCTTCTTGTGTTGAAGGCATCGTGAAGGGATACGGGTATGGGTGTAGGTATAGTAGTTGTGCAGAGATATAGTTGTTGTATTGCTGAGTGTTGTGTTCTTGGAAGAGTGGTCATGGCAAGTGGGAAAGACTCTCAACTTATACACGCTGGATGTAAGCGATTACTCCCGAGGCATCAATCAGAGAGATAATATCCTTGAATAGCTGTCGTAATAACTCAGTCATTGATGCACAGTCACTCCACCATGATGCTCACTCACACACTCCCTGTATTCACACTCAGAGCTGGTGTGGTTGTCACAGACACATTAGGTAGCCTGAATCAATCGCCTCTCCCCAGGGAATGCGTTGCATTAGTGAAATCAATGCAAATGAAATTCTCAATGTCTTTTATGTCCGAGTTCACTGCCCAATTACTTGTAGTGATGTACGCTCAGCCTCGGTCTCAAACACACATAACATCCCTGGCTCACAAGTTCAAAAGAGAACCTGCAGCAATCCCATCTTCAACTCGCGTCCGAAAGATTCCTCAGATGCGCTTCATAACGAGCCCAACACTCATACCATTCACGACGGAAGCCATACGTCCAAACTTCAGTCCCATCGTCCTCGATCTCGCAAATCTCCCAACACCTCCCCTTGGCCCCCTCATCAAGCCTCTCCCCGACGTGTGCGACTGCATCAGAGCGTATGAAGCCACATCTCTCGCATTTCTTTTTCGTTATATCATTGTTGATTTCTCCACATTGGGCTTCTGTAGGTCCAAATTTGCATGTCCATTTCGCCGTCTTGGGGATGAAGTCGTCGCCTTCTTTAGTCGTGGCGTAAACGCTCTGATCGACTGACTGTGCAGAGGCCATTTTATAGAGGTTGGATGGTGTAAAGAGGATTGTAGTCGCTGTATTGCTGTGATTGCTTGCGGTGGCCTTAGGCAGTGGCGAGACTTGCAAATTATATACGTGAACGACAGGCTGACCTTTCTTGGCCGAAGGATTGGAGGCACCTTTTTATACGCATCCAAGGCCGGCCAAGGAGTCATCATTTAGGTTTTCATGATGAAAGCTTTATACTGTGGCAACGAGTCAGTCATCATGGCATTGATGTCTAAGTTATGAGCTAGAAGAGTTATTTACATTCACGGTTGAGACTTGTGGCTGAGAGCTTATTCCGGCAGACAGAACTTAGAACGACAGGCTGGTCCTCACATCGCAATCACAGAGCGAGAATGCCCAAATCACTGCCATACCAGTACTCTAATTGATGAATCGTCACTCAATCAAGTCTTACATGCAGCCAGCTGCCCATACTCACAGCCAGAAGCGGGAGTCCTTCAATCACCCACTCTAACTCCAAGTAACGCTGTCTTTGCAACGCACTTTTACAAGTCTTGCAGACCGGAAATAGCGTTTGAGCACTCAAAGTAGCACGATTCGTACTTCATTTCGGCCGTACAGGCGCCATCATTAACCTGATCACCTTTGACGAAGTCGCCGATGCACGCCTCAAGGTAGTGGCTGGTCGTGAACTTGCACAAGTCGAACCCGCCTTTGAGGAGGACAGAGAACTTAGGACCGTAACCATAAGCAATAGGTAAATTTAGCCTAAATTTACAGGACTCTTTACTAAGTTTATTTTAATACCTTATGTTAAGATTTAGTGTTTTACCCCCTGAGGCCGCCGTCGACAACGATGCGGCAGAGATCATAAGTAATCAAGCCTCAGGGTAGATCATACTGAACATCTTCGCTGTATTTCTATTGTTATGGAGTGATATCCGCTGTTGTGAAGTGATGACCTTGCTAAACATGCCCTCAATTACTCGCTCTTCCTCCTGTTACCACTCCCATCACCCGCAGCGCCTCCCTTGGAATCTCCTCCATCTTCCGGCTATCTGTCTGAACTCTCAGGATCTTCCGAGTTCGACTCTTCTTCCAGATACTCAGAATTCTCATCATCCCGATCTGGACTCTGCCCATCCTCAAACCCCCTTTCCATATGACTAGCTTCAGACCCATCGTCGGTGCTCATCGTCCCCGCATCCCCATTTGTTCCAACTGCATCAGTGGCCCCCGAAGGCCCAGGTGCACTGAATAATCTCCGAGACGGAAGGGAACTATTATCCTCGGGATCGGTGGCACTATATTCTAGGGTTATCCGAGAAGCCTTAGGCGAGATCGGAAGAATTTCTGCTGGCGGGATTGGCTGGACAATCAGTCTCTGACCCGGACGACGGAAATAATGCTAGTGTTCGTCTCCGTTCGGTTCCACACTTTCCGGTACCCGATATGCATGCCCAAGTCACTGACAGCGTCGTCTAGCGTTTTTCGTCAAGCTCTGCACCTTTTGCAGGCGGTATTTACGTACATACAGTTGGCGGTATTGCATGACGTGGACCGGCATATCCATTTGAGGTGGTCCTCACGTCGGATGGTAGTGGTTCCCCAGAAGCTTATGGATTCGACAGAGGAGCTTCGGGGAGCTGGTGAGGAGGACTGAGCTGGCGAGGAGGACTGAGCTGGTGAGGAGTCACTTGGTGTTGGTTCCATGGTGTGATGATGTGGAAGTTGTATATCTGCTGTGTGTATATTGATGAAGGTGTTGATGCTGCAGCCAATGAAGATGATGGCCATGGCAGAGGAGAACGAGACCATGATGATGATGATGATGATGAAGAGAAGAAGGGAGTTTCTGAGCCGATGGGTTAATGTATTGAGAGGATCTGCTCGGGCAAGACCTTGTTGCTATGGAAAGAGCGATAGCCAAGAGATGCAAGGCCACTTCAAGTCGGAGACCAACGCTTCCATTGTCGGCGGGAGGTGCATTGGAAGGATGACAGGGCTTGGGGAGGGAAGAAAGAAAACAAGACCTTGACCCTAAGTGACAAAAAGACTTGGGTAACTTGGTATAAATTTAGGATGCCCTTTATGGAGTTTATTTCGATTCCCTGTATTGGGGTCTTGTGTTTTGTTGCTCCCTGAGGGTCGAATAGAAGCACTCAGAAGGGATGGACGCGGACTTGGTGGTGACGATGACGAGAGGAGCAGTGAGAACAAGACGAGAACAGATAGCTCCCGAGGCGCCTCCAAAATGGGTAGATATCACAAGTCCAAGCGGCGGGACAGATGATGACCATGTATCGAAATGACAAGAGTAATTATATCACTAAAGAGACATCGAAAACGTGGAAAGGGACTCGCGTGAAGCAATCGGTGCTCTTTAGTCCTGCCCCAACGCAGAGATTGAGACTTGGCTGTATCAAACAGCTATCCTTGGGTATGTTCCCTCCAATGCAAAGCAATCGTATCCTCCGTCATCGCCAGCAATCTTGCCATCTTCCAATCAACCACCAGATCAAATCAATCCTTGATGTTAAGCTCCATCAAATGCAAAGGAAGTCGAGTATGAGCATCTGACGGACCCTGTTCCCTACTCTCCTTCACATTCTCCTCCTTCACGTTTTCATCCTTCGTATGTCCACCTCCAACATCATCATCCAAAAAAGGCCAATTCGCATCCCTAGCAATTCCCCCAGCTTCCACCCCAGGCGGTGCAAACAAAAGCCCCATGATCCTGTCCGAGGCCATCGTCAACGACGCCTTGGAGTACAGCTCCTTCATCGCCTCAGCACTCTCTACATCAAACACAAGACCGGAATTTTCCTTGCCGATATGAAGATGGGCACAAACGTTTGCTCGTTCAGGTTTGACGGCGTTGATGTCGACGACTTTGAGGCCGAGAGT